TAATAGTTAAAGGCAGTTATAGGGATGGTCTCGGGACCAAAAACTTTATAATAATCATTTAGACAATCGCCTACACGGTGCCAGACGCGGGAGTCAATACTACCCTCCTGGGGAAACCATGGGCAGATTTTGAAAACGAAAGTGAAAAAGGAATTTAAATCTTTTTTACGAACCCTTATCTTTCGTACCTTGAGGGATTCCTTTAATTGACTAACGAATAAATCACGTTGTGAACATGCCTGTCCCATGGTTGGGTCTTACCTTTGAGATGCCGCTGTCAGGGAACGGGGGTCGTCAGGGAATGCCGGCGCGCGGTCGGGCAGTCGCGGTGAGCCGGGCGAACGCTATGAGCCGAGCGAACGCTGTGATCCACGGGGACAGCGGTCCGCACAAGCGATCAGCGGGGCCCCATGTTGGGCGCCACTTGCCTCGGCCCGAGAGGCAGTCAACGGGGTCTGCCGATATACCTGTAACGGATGAAAAAGGATGGGACAGGAGGCGCGAAAGAACGACAGCAAGACAAAGGATTCTGATCAAGCTGCAAATTTTTATTTTAAAATGGAGGGAGTTATATAGAGGAGGGTAGAGGAAGGCAGATAGGGGAAGTAGCTCTGGTTGGTAGCTTTGGGGCGTGCTCTTAACTGGGATAGGCTAGGGGGCGCATGATAGGCGTGTGATCAAGGCACTGATTGGTGTGCCGCCCGTGTGCTCAGGCTAGGCACCTGCAATGCTTCTGACTGCAGATATCCTGTTGTGCAGGAAACTTCTGACCACAGATGTCCTGTTATGTACGCGCAATTTCCATCTCTGGCTGCATCAGCCTGCTTTAGGCTTATCCCTGCCCCCAACAAAAAACACTCAGCAAAGTGGGAATAGAGGGAGCATTCCTCAACATAATAAAGGCCATATATGAGAGACCTACAGCCAACATCATACTCAATGGGCAAAAACTAAAATCTTTGCCATTAAGATCAGGAAGAAGACAAGGTTGTCCATGTTCACCACTTCTACATTGTATTTGAAGTTTTAGCTACAGCGATCAGAGATGAAAAGGTAATAAAAGGCATCCAAATTGGAAAGGAGGAAACAAAACTGTCATTGTTTGTAGATGACATGATAGTGTATATAGAAAATGCTATAGACTCCACCAAAAATCTCCTCAACCTAATAAATGAATCTGGCAAAACAGAGGGATACAAAGTCAATATCCAGAAATCAAAGGCATTTTTGTATAGCAACAATGAAACAGCAGAAGCAGAAATCAAGAAAAAAATCCCATTTGATACTGCAAGAAGAAAAATGAAATGGCTAGGAATAAGCCTAACCAAGGAGGTAAAAGACCTGTATGCAGAAAACTACAGAAACTGAAGAAAGAAATTGAGGAAGACACAAATGGAAACATATACCATGTTTGTGGATTGGAAAAATTAACATCATCAAAATGTCCATACTACCCAAAGCAATTTATAGGTTCAGTGCAATACCTATTAAAGTACCAATGGCGTATTTCACAGACATAGAATAAAAACTTCAAAAATTTATATTGAACCATAAGTGACCCTGAACAGCTGCTGCAGTTTTGAGAAAGAAGAGCAAAATAGGAGGGATCACAATACCTGGTACCAAAGTGTATTACAAGGCCTCTGTAATCAGAATAGCCTGGTCCTGGCATAAAAACAGGCACACAGGCCAATGGAACAGATCGGAGAGTCCAGAAATAAACCCAAGTCTCTATGGTCAATTAATATTCTGCAAAGGGAGCAGCAACTTAAAATGGAGTAACAGTAACCTCTTCAACAAATGGTGTTGGGAGATCTCGACAGCTACATGCAAAAAATGAAACTTGAGTATCAACTTACACCATACACAAAAATAAATTCAAGGTGCATACAAGATTTAAATACAAGGTGTGACACCTCTAAAGTCCTAGCGAACATAGGCAGGAAAATCTCAGATATTTCACACAGCAATATTTTCACTGATATATCCCCCTAGAGGAAGAGACATAAAAGAAAGAATAAACAAATGGGATCTCATCAACATAAAAATCTTTTGCACAGCTAAGGAAAACAGTATTAAAATAAAAAGAGAACCAACTGTATGGGAAAACATAGTTGCCAAAGATACCTCAGAGAAGGTTTTGATTTCCAAAATATATAAATAACTCACAGTACTTCACTCAAGAAGACAAACAACCCAATTAAAAAATGTGCAAAGGCACTGACACTTCTCCAAGGAGGACATACAGAGGATCCAGAAACACATGAAAAGATGCTCAGTATCACTAGCTATCAGAGAGATGCAAATTAAAACCACAATGAAATGCCACTTCACCCCAGTCAGAATGACCATCATAAACAAAGCAACAAACAACAAATTTTGGAGAGGTTGTGGAGAAAAGGGAACTGTAGTGCACTGTTGGTGGGATTGCAGACTGGTACAACCACTATGGAAAGCAGTATGGAATTTTCTTAGAAAACTAAAAATGGATCTGCCTTTTTTATATATTTATTTAGATTTTTAAAAATTTTTTAGATTTTATTTATTTATCTTTAGAGAGGGAAGGGAGGGAGAAAGAGAGAGAGAAACATCAATGTGCGGCTGCTGGGGGTCATGGCCTGGAACCCAGGCATGTACCCTGACTAGGAATCGAACCTGTGACACTTTGGTTTGCAGCCCGCACTGGATCTGCCTTTTGACCCAGCAATTCCATTGCTAGGATGATATCCTAAGAACCATGAAACACCAATGCAAAAGAATCTATGCACCTCAATGTTCATAGCAGCACAATTTACAATAGCCAAGTACTAGAAGCAACCTAGGTGCCCATCAGTAAATGAATGGATTAAAAAACCATGGTACATTTACACACTGGAATTCTATGCAGCAGAAAGAAAGGAGTTCCTACCCTTTGCAACAGTGTGGATGGAGCTGGAAAGCATTATATTAAGTGAAATAAGCCAGGTGGTGAAAGACAAATACCATATGATCTCATGTTTAACAGGAACCTAAACAACAAAACAAAGAAACAAGCAAAATATAACCAAAGACACTGAAATTGAGTACAGGCTGACAGTGACCAGAGGGGAGGGAATTCAGGGGGAAAGGATGAATGGTTTGCAGGAAGAAATATAAGACACAGACAAAAAACTACTGGGGGAGGGATGGAAATGGGAGGGAGGTGGGGAGGGCTCGTGGGTGGGCTGGGATCAGAGTAAAAGACAGAAAACTATACTTGAACAACAATTAAACTAAATAAATAAAAGACAAAAATTAAAAAGAAAATTAAAAATAAATATATATATAACAAAGTATATATAATAAGAGTTTAATACTACATTAAACTGTCAAAACAGGAATGTATCAGCACAAATCAGATGCCTAAATTAATGGAAGAGTATAGGGAATTCAGAATTAAGCCCTCTTACATGAACAAGTAATCTATTAAAGAGAAGGTAAAGATATATATTGAAGAGTTGAGAGAGTTTTCAAAAAGTGGTCTTGGAAAAACGAAATTTATGCATGCAATAAAGCTTGTCTACATTCTTACATTCTAATCAAAAATAAATATAAACTGATAATAGCTCTGCTTACCTCTTGCATATTTTCAAATCACACCAGCCCTGCTTCCTTCTTACCCACTTCTCCCTGTCTTCCCCTTGAAGTGAGCACTTCACAGATGCCTGCCTCACAGAGATTTCTAGACCACCCATCTCTCTTTGCCTTCCGACTGACTCCATTCCTGCCTGTATTCCCTGTTTTCCAACTAATGTCAGGTGTGGTTAAGTCTCCTTGTTTTTAAATTTATGCTAGCTTTGCTCCTCATTTTCAGTGCTCACCCACTCCCTATAGTTATCTTTCATTCAGCTCCTTTTCCTTCAGTTCAGAACCTGAGAACAGGAGTGGGTAAGAACAATGTGTTTACAGACTTTCATTGTGACTTATAGGAGACCATTCTGCGTGGTGTGGACCCAGCTCCCACTCGGAAAGGCCAGTGGAAAGTGAGGTCCAGTGCACAGGACCCACACCCACGGATAGGTTCTACCATGGGGAATCAGGCCTGCATGGTACCTATGCTGCTTTGAGACTTGCTTTTTGCTAAAACTCCCTCACCTTGAATTAAGGCAGCAAATGTTTACTGCGTATCTGTTTTTTTTTTTTATAATAACTAACACTTTTTTTTAAGATTTTATTTATTTATTTTTAGAGAGGGAAGGGAGGGAGAAACAGAGAGAGAGAGAAACATCAATGTGCGGTTGCTGGGAGTCATGGCCTGCAACCGAGTCATGGCCTGCAACCCAGGCATGTGCCCTGACTGGGAATCGAACCTGCGAGACTTTGGTTCGCAGCCCGAGCTCAATCCACTGAGCTACGTCAGGCAGGGCTACTGTGTATCTTTAAAGTAACTTCCTAAAATCTATGCTAAACCTTCAAAGATGAGTATAACCAGTTCAAGCACTTTTCCCTTTACATTTGCAAATATCCCTCTTTTTTCATGTAACTAGCCACATCCTCTCCTTTGTTTTCTGTAAAAGGTAACCACCTAAAGTGAACCTGTGCATAGTAAATGAGGACCATCTTCAATGTAATGTGCCCAGAAAAGCAATAAAAGCTTGTCAAGGCATGGGTCAGCATGCTCTCCTCTTGAGAGAGTGGCCTAGGTGCTCTGAGGTGCCCTCCTCTTGAGAGTGGCCATGCCCTCCTTTTTCCTCCACAGGACTTAATAGTCTGTGTGAATTTGTCTCATCTCACCCACAGTGCCATGGACACTGCTGGCCGGTGACCACATCAGTGGCAGAAGACTAACCTTGCTCAGGTGACACCTCCTTACATGATTTTGCAGTTTTACAACTGGGACAGCCCCTGTCTTTCAGGTTACTGGTTCCGAGGCCTTGCTCTGAACATTTCCATTCTTCTGAATCTCATATCTCCCTCCTGCAATATTGACTAGAAGTAACATGACAAAATTTAGCACCTCAGAGTTTTTTATTTTTTTTTAGGATATAAGTCGTGAAGAATACACATGTGATCCAACAGAGGAGCTGCATCAACAGCCTTCAGTGCTTCCAACCACACACCTATATAAAGAATATAAAGAATCTGAAAACGAGCACACAGTAAGTATTCCATGTGCATCAGTGCTGGAGCTCTTGTAATGTATTAACCATTGACATTTTAGGCCAAATCAATTGTGTTTTGGGTGATGCCTTCTGCACGGCAGGGTATTTAGTAGCCTTTTCCCACAACTTAATACATGTGTATAGTACCCCAACCCCCTAAAATATATATAAAAAAGAGAAAATTAAAGACAGAGAGGGTGAGATTTAGAAAAAGAGAGATTAAAACAGATACAGAGAAATATATTCAAAGGAGTAAATGAGTGAAAAGTGACATTTTAAAAGTCTTCACACAAAGATATATTTTATTTAGTTTTCACAAGGGAGGAAGAGAGAGAGAAACAGAGAGAAAGATATATCATCTATGTGAGAGAGAAACATTGATCACTTGCTTTTCGTATACCCTGCCTTATCAGGGATTCAACCCACAACTTTGTATGTGCCCTGACTGGGAACTTAACCAGCACCTATTTGGTGAATGGGATGATGCTGCACCAATTGAGCCACCTGACCAGGATGACATTATTATTTTTACTTGGAACATGTATGTGACTTTACATCACTTTGGCTTTATTGTGGAGAAGTTAGTTCAAAAGCCCTTTTCGGTGACACAAAGTGTTCATATCGGCAGACAGCATCCATAGGAATCCATTATAGAGACTCACACCACATAGGCTGATATGAGCACAAGGTCTGATTCCAAGTATAACAGGGGTCCATGGAAAGTCATATGGCAGATATAATTACATTTAGATGTTTTCTTAATGTTAACCCCATGAAGGTGAGTACCAAAAAATGCCCTGAGTAGTATGTTTTTTTCAAAATCATATTGATGAATCTCAGACCTGATTTAATTAGTATTTCCAGCTACATTTTACTTTTTTTGGTAATTTTGCCATGTTTGTAGTTTTCCACCAAACACGTGGAACACCAGCCCCCAGTGTTTTTGGTTGTATGTCATACACCTGTGACAATGTCTTTAGAGAGTAGTTCCAGTCCTCATCCCCAGTGAGCCAAGTGGGTCATTGAAGACTCCAAAGGAACACAACAGCACTAATGTGATCACAAAACAAGTGTTGGTACTCAGCTCCTTCTTCTGAAACCTGGGACCCTTGTTAACTTTCTAGGAATCTGTGGGAATAGCTGTTCCTGATGCATTTGTATACTAATGGAGGTGTCCTGGGTGAGCAGTCAAGAGCTCTGAGAACCTTTCAGGGAAGTCTAATTAGAAAAAAGCACCCTGTTCACCCCATTCATGCAACTTTTAAAAAGTTAGCTCCCTAACTAATTGAGAGAACAAAACAGAAGAAATCTGGTACTTGCTCACATTTTAGAGACAAATCCCTATGAAGTTTACTTTAGTGAAGAAGGTTGAGAGATCAAAATGTTTGCCATCTGTGTCCACACTTTCTCAGTATGTGTCTTTTGGGAAAGGTCATAATATAACTGTTTCCCTCACTATAAACACTGAATCTGGCTTTCCCTCTAACAACTTTGCTCATTCAGCTGTGAATATTCTCAGGTAACTTAGGTCATTACTGTGATCCCATGTGGGCAGCATTGTAGCCATTGCCAATTTTTTTGTGTTGTGTTATAGGGAAGATGTCAGGAGTACTGGGTGGCTTTTCTGGTCAGAAGCAGTTTGTTAGGTATTGGAATCCTGCTGACTGTGTCTTTCATGTACCTCTGGTCAGGACTTGCAGAATAAGAAGTGAGTGATGGAGAACCAGCTACTCTTTATTCTTGTAATCCTGAGCTACTGAGGTGTCCTTTGGTTTTTCGTAATGTTTGAGGGATATGTAGTTTTTCCTTTGTACCTGATAGGAATAAACTAAAAAAACATTATGGTGGTGTTCCATTCTGTGGCGATTCCCCAGCAGCACTCTTAATGTTACCTGACTGAATACCAGACATCTTTCTTTATAAAGCTCCACACAGAAATTCATGGAGGGGCAGTTAGACAGGTACAAATTATGTCTAGCCTTAGAAAGTTGGCAGATACACCAAAAACAGCACTCAAAACCTGTCAGAGGTGAGAGTGGGCACAGAAGGTCTGTACAGCCCAAATCTTAAGATAACAAGGGTTAGCCCACATCCTAGACTACAGACTATGCAATCCTTGGGACACTGAAAGAGTCTCACACTAGATCACACTTTGTCCCACACCCAGTAGTATCTGAGCATCCATTCTTGCCTCCACTAGCTGTTAAATGAAGGTGTACAAAGTCAGTGCTCACATATTTGTGGGAATATTGGAGAAAATGGTATGTTGTTTGACTTGACAGCAAGCTAAAACATCTTGCAATTGGCTATAGTTTTCATGGAACTGTCTTCCTTATGTGTTTGTGTGTTGGGAACTGCCCTGCTGGTATCAGAAGCTGTAACCCCCGCCAAGGCTAAGGCTGAGGGAATGACCTTGGACTGTAGGCCACCAAGGAGACAAAAGCTTATCTCCCTGGCAGGAGCACTGCTTCTGCTACTTCATCCATAACTGACCCCCAATGCTTGGTCAGTTAGCCAAAGATGGGTAATGTTCCCCAAGGGGGGAACAACTTAAGACAGCACAATCACATGTGAGGCCCCCAAGGAAGGACTTTGGGGGCTACAGCAAAAGGGGGTGATGGACCCTTGCCCCTTGGCTTTGACAAAGCCTGAGTCCTCATTGTCTGTGAGAAAATCTCCTTATCTCTTGGTTGCCTTAGTTCCCTTGCTCCACCTAAGCCTGAAACAATGACAGGGTGGTGCGGCTCTGTCCTGAAAAGGGTGGGTTCCCCGGGTGATCAGGCCTAAGAAAGAATATGTAAATTACTGTGAAACCTACTTTGTTTAGAATGCTCTCAGTTGAATGATAAGGGTCCAGGGAAGAAGTAAGTTTGTTCCCTAAAGTTTTTTACAGCTCTTTGACCCTGACTCAAAATAGGCCCTCAGACTTCCTTGTTACTTACCTATTGTTGATCCTTACTTCCTAGCAATGAGTAATGAGCTTTACCTGAATTCTTATGCAAACAAAACCAATAAAAAGCCTCTCCAGTGGGGAAATGGGGCACGCTCCCCACTAGAGAAAGTGGCCATTCCGTTCCTACTTCCCCACAGGACTTGGTTGTCTCTGTATATATTTTTCTCATTTGTCCACGAGCCATCTGCAGCGTTCTGCGGTCACTGCAGGCTGGTGATTGCATCATTTGTGTAGCAGTCAGCTCCATTGTCCTTTCAGACCTTCTCAGACACTTACTCACTTGTTGGGAGTCATCCTGCCTGGTTTCAGGGACTGCAGCCTCATTAGCAGACAATAAGGACCCACGGGTAGAGCTGAGTGAAAAGGCATTGGGGATGTGAGCCACTAAGGAGACAGGACATTTCCTCCTGGCAGGAGTCCTGCCGCTTTGTCCCTCACTTCCCCCTGCCTGGCCCTGGTGTATGGCTGGTTAGGAAATGGCAGGTAAGATCCCTCAAGGGAGGGGTGACCTAAGGCATGCACAGTCATGATGTACCATCAAGGAAGGACTTAGAGGTCTTCAGAGAAGGGACAGAAAAACAATCACCCCTTGGCTTTGTCATAGCCTGAGTCCTCAGGCTTTCTATAAAGTCTCCTAGTCTCTTGGCTGTTTTGCTCTCCCTACATGACTCAGCCTGGGAACATTGTCAGAGGCAGCTGCATCCTTGTCCTGGAACAGATGGCTCCCAGTGGTAATTCTTGCCAGAGAATGAATATACATTGTTTCCTTTGAGACTTGCTCTGCCCTGTTGCTATGAAACAGACACTTAAGCTAAAGCCAACCCTGACCTGGGATGATATCAGTGTTTTTCCAACTATTATCTGAAACTGACAGAATTTCTCATGACTAGCTTTTTGGACATTAGTTGATGAGCTTTACGTGCATACTATGTATGTCTGCATGAACTGAACTCAATAAAAATGCAAGGAAAGAGGTGTTCAGGACCTTTCTCCTTTGAAATACTGGTAATGTTTCCTCTCAAAGAAAATCATTGTGTTGGGCATTTTTTCTCAACCAAGATGACACAGAGGAGCTCTGCTGGCAGAGACACCCCATCACCCAATATCATACCTAATAGCATCATTTATACATTAAATGGCAGACGTGATTAAGCTATTCCAGCAGTTTTTGTGTAACTTGTCACATAATAAAACTAGACCACCAAGGTCAAAAGCTGCAACCTCACTTCTTTTCAGGACTTCCCACAATGGATACCATTTTTCACAGGGTCACAATCTAACAATGCCACCAGAACATGACCTGATTCCACTGAGTTGCCATGTCAGCAGTTATGCCAAAAAATATATAAAATGTCTCCTGGTAAGTAATGTTAGTTTGCTTGTGCTGTCAAAATGTAGTGCCATGTTGGTGGGTGTAAACAACATAGTTTTTTAACTTACAGTTCTGCCACCTCAAATTTTAAGATCATGTTGTGGCCTGGATTGTTTTCCTGGGGACTCCTTCCTTGTTTGCAGGTGAGTATGTTTAAACTTCTTGTTCCCAGGTGTTTCCTGTATGGCTCTCTGTGACCTGATCATTTGGTAAAGGCTCCACTTTTATTGAATTAAGACTCCCGCAAATTAACTCACTTAACATTATTCCCCTAAAAATTATGACACCAAATACAGGCACACTGTGAGGTAATGGGCCTTTGGACTCAAACTGTGAATTTGGAAAACACATTTGAGCTCTTAACACATGCTCCTGCTTGTCTAAAGAGATTTACACAGAAATGAGACTGCAGGTAGAAAGATTTGCATATGTAATATATTCATGTGTATCATAGGTACAGCCACAAATGAACTAAAAGTTCTTTTCCAATGACACTGCCACCAGCAGTCTCTGACGATGGCTGCCTTTTTAATCAAGCCTCACTTGAAATTTATAATTGTTTCAAATGCAATCCTCATGGTGTGAAGTTGTCCAACACTATCACAGTTGTCATTGTGTGCACTATTCTTTTACCAATATTATGTATCAGATGTCAGCCATTTACCAGAGATGTGGATTTTTTTCATGTCATGTGATCAGATACTGCCCCTGGGAAGGGCAATATTTCTTCATTAAATCTCCAAGTGTTTGTCTCTACTAATTCTGTTCCCTCTACAATGAAGGCTTCAAAATCTGATTAAATAAAAAAAAAATAAGTGCCTTTTTTTAAACAAAATCAAGTAGATCCCTTTCATGAGTGTGTTTCCTGTACATTGTCTTTAAATTGCAGAAGCATAAAATTCTCCAGAAATTGTCCTTTCATGTCAGAGGAGACCAAGGCTCAGTAGCTCAGAGGGAATGTGGTGTTGTCTGACCTTTTTCTGTTGTCAGTACAGGAACTTAAGAACCATTTGGCATATTTAATTCTATGTATTCCCATCTGTGCATTTGGGTTATTATTTTTCTTTTGGAGTCACTGGGAAAATCCTTTTATACAGACTATTTATAAAGGGAGGACTCTTGCTCCTAAACTGAAAAAAATGCCTTGAAAAGAATGATTATGTAATTCTTCTTGATCAACTATCTTATGATAGCACATTTAAAGGTCAGAAATTGTTTCAGTTTGGGCACCCTGTCTTTCTTTATACATGTGTCCCCGAAGAACTCTGAGTTCATTCAGGAGCTTCACATTGTCAATCTTTCTGTGGTTATTGGTATTGTTGTTTAAATTGTTTCCCTTTTTGTTTAAACTAAATATGAAGGTAACATCTACTTGTCACCTTGAAGGCCATTTAGAATGCATAACATAGGATTTCATAATGTCCATGGTAGCAGCCTACCCCTGTCAAAACATTTTCAAAATGACAACCTACCTGTTCATTTGTCTGGTATTTAGTACAGTACAACATATCCTAGATCACCTTTTTACTATGTGAACATTGGCCACAGCGTTGATACCAGGACTCTTCCCAACCCCAGGTTTTGTCCTGGGAATATCCCTTATCTCTCTGAGGCTCAGATTGCTTGTATACAAATTGCATGTTAGAAAACAAATCTTTTATTATTTCGGTAGGATCAACTGAATCAGCTATAGTAAGCACTTACCTAGTACTCCATCTTCCAGTATATATTGCTGGATCTGCTGTGAGTTTTCATCTAAGTAGGTTTCACTCACCCATGAAACTTTTATGCCTTCTTCTTCACTGGCTTGTGGACCTTGTCAGTTTGAAAAAGATGTAGAATGCAATTTTTCAAGATATTTGAGATTGTTTCCACTGGGTCTTGAAATTTGTCCTTTCTGTGGCCAGATTAAAGCTCTATCAGGGGAGTAGACAAGTAAAATGCCCACTGAGATAGCTGGTACTACTTTGGATGAAGTTCACTTGTTCAACTATATGATACATCTGGTGTGTTGTGACCATTCAAGGCCAGACAAGTTTATGAGATTCAGGCAGACAGAAGAAAATTCTCAGAGTCATTGGGATGTCTGAAATGTGTTTATTCAAGGGTGGGCAATCCACACGTGCTGCAAGTTGCATGTCCCCCTGAATGTCCCTGCATATCACCTGTCCTCTCTGCACAGCACCCCAGCATGGCATCTGCCGTGGTCTACTGCATGTCTCTCATCACCCAGTTTGGCAGCCAAAGGGATCCCCTACATCCTCTAATACTAGATTGTAGACAAAGCCAGCAAGATGCCAACAGAATTATGCAACAGAGCTTCATTGTATGCAGGCGAGCCCAATCGAGGCTATGGAAACAGTTTTTGGAAACAGTCTCAAGGCTATGAGAAAAATACTTATCAGGCCCATTCTCAAGGTTATAAAGACTTCTTCCTTTAATAGCCCAGACACCTGGATGAGGAAGCCAGACTGCCCCCGTTTACCCTACATCTGACCTAAGTTAAAACACAAGGGGACTAAACCATGCCTTACATCAGTTGGAAAGCAGAGAAAATAAGCAAGAAAGGCATTAGTTGGCAGGCAAAATGTGGTGGGTGGATCTAGAATTATCTGTGAAGCAGGGAACGGTGGGATGCTAACTTCTATTGGAAGGCCAGGAGATGTGGGTAAGAGAGAAGCAGGGCTGGAATCAATTGGAAATATGGAAGAGGTGGGTGAGGTTGGTATTGGCTTAAGTTTATTTTTTAGTATGCTGTAAGGCAGTGTCCAGTTTCTGTTCATTATGTATATTTTGTTTTCCCAGGATGAGCTGTTGAAAAGTTTGTCAACTCAACAATGTATATCTTTACCTTCTCTGTCATACATTAGTTGTTCAGATAAGAGGGTTTGATCCTGGACACTGTACTGTTACATTGTTTTAAGGGTCTGTTTTGTGCCAATACCTTTCTGGTTTGATTATTATAGCTTTATAGTATGGTTTGACAACATGGAGAATGTCATCTATAATTTGTTCTTTCTTCTCTAAATGTAATTGCTTATTAAGTTATTTGTTGTTCCATATAAATTTTAAGATTTTCATTTCTCAGAAGAAAGTAAGTTGTAGTTTGATAGGATTTCAGTTGAACCAATTAATTGCTTTGGGAGATATCATAATTATAAAAATTTAATCTTTCTAATAGATAGGAATTGTTTATCTTTCCATTTGTTTGTGTTAAGTTCAGTTTATTCCTTCAGTGTTCTATAATCTTGAGAGTACATGTCTGTACAGTTTGCATTTTGTTTCTTAATAAATCATTTTATTAACTCAATTTTGTTGAATTCTTGAATTAATTCTATATACAGCAACACATCATCTGCAAATAGTGACAGTTTTAATTCTTTTTTACTTAAATGTGTTTTATTTTCCCTTGTGATTGTTAGTGTAATTATTCCAATGTTATTTCAAATAATAGAAATGAAAGTGGATATTCTTAACTTGTTTTGATTTTTCAAGAGATCGTTTTCATTATTTCACAGTTGAGTATATAGTTAGTAATGAGGTGGTCACATACACTCTTTATTAAGCTGAGATTGTTTCTTTGTAGAAGCATTCTGTGAAATATTTTTATCTCTAATGCATATAATATTCTATTTCTTTTTCTATATCTCTTGATCATTTGTATGAATTTTTTGAGTGGTGAATCACATAATTTGTTTCTGGATGTTGAGCATCTTGTATCACTGGTATAATTCACACTTGATCAAAGTATGTACTCTTTTTACTGTATTATTCAATTTGGTTTGGTACAATTTTCTTGAGAATTTTAGTGTGTACATTTATCAAGAATATAGGCCTGTAAGTCTCTCTCAGTTTGTTTTTGCAGTTTCTTACATTAGTTTTGGTATCAAAGTAATGCTGGCCTCTTAAGAAAAATTGGTGAAGGATATGTACTAATCATTGTTGTCATATTTGTTAGAATCCCCTGTAAATCTCTGTGGGCTTGGGCTTTTCTTTTTGGGTGTTTCAGTTACTGACTCAAATGTATTTGTAGTAATTGGTTTGTTCAAGTAGTGTTATTTGTCATGATTTACCCTTCAAAGGGAGTATGAGTTAAAAATGTTCCATTTTATTAGAAGATCAAATGTGTTATGTATAATTGTTGATGATAGTCTTTAAATATTCTTTGTGTTTATGTAGTGTTGATTGTTGTTTCCCTTTTATTCTGCTTTTATTTATTTTTCTATTGCCTCTTTACTGCTTGATGGGCCTTATTAGAGGTTTTTCAAATTTGTTTATCATTTCAAAGAAGGAGCAATTAGATTTATTTATCTTTACATCTTTCTCTATTTTTTTTAATATGGCACTGATCTTTGTTTTATTTTTAATTCAACCTACTTTTTAAAGTTCTTTTTTAATGTATTTAGAAATTCAAATGATTTTATTGAAATTTTTCTGGTCTTTAGTTAGAACTGTATAGTTATAGTCTCCTCCTATAAGAGCTTTCCGTAAATGCACATTTTCCAAGACCATATTTGAATTTATATTCGTCTCAATGTAGCTTTGGTTTTTCTGTTCTTCTAATTATTTATTTATTTAGACTGGAGAAGTTAGGGAGAAAGAGAGGAAGAGAAACTTAAATGGGTGGTTGCCTCTCACACTCTCCAGTGTATTGCCTGTAACACAGGCATGTGCCCTGATTGGGAATCGAACCAACAGCACTTTGGTTCATAGGCTGGCACTAAATCCACTGAGCCACACCAGCCAAGGCCTCTGTTTTAATTTTTGATTTCTTGGGTGTTTGGTAGTATGTTGATTCATTTCCAAATGTATTGCTTGCTTTTCGTTTCTTTTCTATATTTGATTTCCAACTTCTTACCATTATGGTCAGACAATATAGTTAACAGCCCTGGCTGGTGTGCCTCAGTGGATTTAGCACCAGCCTGCGAATGAAAGGGTCACCAGTTGGATACCCTGTAAGAGCACATGCCTGGGTTGCAGGCCAGGTCCCCAGTTGTGGGTGCATGAGAGGCAACCACACACTGATGTTTTTCTTCCTCATTTTCTCCTTTCTTTGTGCTCTCTCTAAAAATAAATGTATATAATCTTTTTTAAAAAAGCAAAGGAAAATATAACTAATATAACTTCAAAATTTTAAATTTAT